TCTGAGACATGTAATTTTAAATGTATTCAGTACTGATGTGTTAGTAAAATGTCTTACTAGTTAAAATGGCTGTGGGAAAGCAAACATTAATTACTATTTTCATGTCCATTGTATAAATGGTAAAAAAAATATAATAAAATAAAAAATAACTCTAATACTGAATGGATTTTACTAGTTCATTTTAGGACCAAGACAGCCTTAGCTCTCCAATAGATTTCCAGCTGAAATCATTCTGAATTTTGTCAGGGGAAAAAAAAAAATGAATTGTGTATAATATTAATAAAAAATTATGTAGCATTTTTTGTCAAAGAAAATAAAGGATTTTTTTTCCTTTGGGGAAGGGAAACAGGGAAGGGAGAGTAAAGAGAGAAGAGGGGGATGGACAATACAAGTTTGCTTGTGCATAGTTGAATACGACCAATATTTTGACTTCAAAATATTTTCCTTCCTTTGTCTACATGTAGTAATACATATAAGTAGGGTATATTGCAGTATACATTTGTATTGGACCTTTCCTTTTGATAGCCTGATGCACTTACTCTCCATTCAGAACACATTTTCATATATATAACCAGCTAAACATGTCTAACACAGCCAACACAATTTGCATGCATAGAACAAAGATTACACTCCTCTCTGTATTCCTACAGGAACTATAGGAAACATGAACAGCTTAAGGAAAAAAACAACAACAACAAAAAAGTAGAAATGTAGAATTTTAGCATATAAAAGTAGTTCATTGAGCACTGAGCTAGCTGTCTGTTCTGTGCTTGAAAAATTAACAGTCTACATTCTGCTGCTGGAAGTTATCAATATTCAACTGACATTGACGAGACAAAAGCAGATTGTATGAAGGAAGAATTTTGATTGTGAATACGCTGTTTTTTACCTCCAGCGCCTTTTATATTAATCATTGATTTTCAGTATGCAATTCTAAAGAGTCCAAGTCTCATTAACAAATTGGGACATAATCATCGAGTATTCTTTTTTGACAGAGTAACTAGCCTAGTGGATGACATTGAAACACTGTAAATAATTTGTTACTTAAAAAACAAACAAACAAACAAAAAAAAAACCTCTTATAGTGTCTAAGATGACATTCTCAAAATCAAAGCAGAGAATAGCCAGATACTTCAGAGACAGGTCACAACTGACTGAAATTCATGCTGAATCAATAGCTGGCATTATCTATTAATTAATTAATTAATTAATTAATAATTTATTTATTTATTTATTTATTTGATTGGGTAGTATGTAAGTTTTCTGGTCTGGATGTAATTTTGTTCAATAGTTTCATTTTAGTTAGTTGGTAGAACTTAAGAGGAAATTCCAAACATTATTGATGGTATCAACAAATCTGATGAAATCAAGTTAGAGCATTTACAAACACATTACAAGTTTGGAATTTGAAATTGACAAGATAAAAGGTGATTTGAAATCTGTGACAAGCATTGCTTGACAGTAGGACACTGTTATGCTTGACAAAATGTTTTAAACATCTCAAAAGATTTAGAGGACCACAATGGTCTACAAATTAACTACAGGGGGAAAGTTACTCTTTTTATGAAAAATAAATAAATAAATTATATATATATATATATATATATATATATGTAATATATATATAATTTATATATATAATTACATATATGTATATATAAATTACATATATATATATATATGTAATTTAGAAAGCCATGTGTTTTAAATTCAGATTATATTTTCTCTTTCCTAAGTTTCAGTCTCATGTGGACTTACTTTGAAAGAAAATTATAGTCAAAATTGTAAACAGATAATGATGGCAACAAAGGCAAGAAAATTTGAAAAAATATGTTAGTAGGAAAGGTCAAAGACACTGGTTTTACTTTATTTAGCTGACTAAAGACACTTCTATGAAATGGACAATCACCTGGTTTCCTTATTTTGTTGGTGAAAGATTTTATGTTAAATATGACGAAAACCTTCTTCATAATAAAGGCAGTGAACAATGTGGTAACATTAGCAAATATATAATAGAATACTTTTTTTTTTTTTTTTAATAACTGAATATATACTTATCTCTGGTTATATTTGTAGTCAAGTTATGTTCCACTGTACGTCAATAAAAGAGTATTGAGTGGTCTTTTATGATGCATTCAAGTGTCATATTTGTGTGATTTTATGCTCAACATTAATAAATAAAAAAAGTTTCAAATATTCTGAGTTATAAAATATACTAAATTTATTAGGAAATATTCCATATGATATACTAGTTTATGTCATGGTACTGCTAGATTTCATAAAAAAAAAAAAAAAAAAAAAAAAAGAAAACGAGATTGTACAGTTGCTATTTTACTTGTGCTGTAAATTTTCACGGACCACTATGCTACTGTCATCAATATGATGATATCTAAAGGATATTCCCCAAGATGTTTCCTGAAATCATGGGTTTAGTGATCACAGTAGGGAGGGTAAATATTTCTTTAATTCACAGAAATATGGAGAGCTTTAACTTGTGTTTACGCATTTAGTGCCATTTTCCCAGCAGAGTTGTTCATATTGTTATAATGCTATATCAAAAAAACATATTTCTTTGTCCTATATTTTGCAGATTGATGGGACCAATGTATTTCAGATAGGAAAGAATACACGGAAACATAGCTATATGCTTGCCTTGATCTTATTTTCTTCCCAAAACAGCTACAATTTTAGAAATAGTATATTTAACCTGATAAACCATTAGTCTGAACAAGAACGGCCAGATGTTATATTTTCAGAGGACTTTTGGCATTTTTTTTCTCCAGCTCATACCCCAAGAAGCTCCAAAAAACGTCAGGACATTACCACAATTTCATAGACCTGGCAGCAACCATTTTATTCCATAATTTTTCTGAGCAAGCACAGTAAAAGCCATTTTAGGCAGGACCATATTAGCTATTTTAGACAGGATTTCTGCCAGATTAGTTCTTCGAATGGAACAGGATAATCTATTTACCTTGGAGAAAAAAAAAAAAAAATGCAGTTTATCAGGTACTGTGGGCTGAAGTAACTGAAGTCATATCCTGTCCATATATGAACTCTGTGTTACAGTGTTTTCTTTATTTTATGTTTTCTATTTTTATTAATTAGACTAATTTCAAATAGATATTCAAATAAATAAACATAACATCTCACGCAACTTCCTTATACAAGACTAAGACGTCATTTGTGAAAATTCTACAAACAATAAATACTGAAAAGTCATCTCATAGGTTTGTTATGTTCTCAAAAGCAAACAAACAAACAAACAAAGAAACAAAAAAAACACCTCAGATTTCTATTTTCTAATAGATGAAGTCAGGAAAGGCAAATCACAGTTAATGCTGAAAAGAATTTGTATGACTGCTGATACAACAGCGCTGCACTGAGTATAATGCAGTTTAAGTGATACTCAGCTAAAAAAATAATTTTTCTTAAAAGCAAGATTAAAAGTATATATAAACATGCTTATACAACTATTCTATAACGAAAGATTACACTTTTGTTCCTCTTAAATCATATATTCTATATAATATAATGCTACCATTAAATGAGAATTTATTTCAAATAGTTGTACACAATTACATGTAGTTAGTTTATTTCCAAAGAGAATTGAGCTCTACAGATGTAAAACTCATTTTTACAAGACTCACATATCCAGTGAAACACATAACTGTTTATGAGACTACTTTATGCATGTTTTATTGATCATAGTGTTTTAAAATATATGATTCACATACATCAACCCTTAAATGTTAGGTGATAAGGCAATCATAAATATGTTACTAAGATTAGCAGAATTCAGACTGGCCTCCAACTGGCTTCCACAAATTGCCTCTATTTCCTGTGTGTTTGCCAAAACAGATAGGTACATTCCTATCCTACATAGAAAATCCACATTGTTGGTTGCCAAACATGTTAAATACATCTCAGTAAACAAGTCATATAAAAACAGCTGCATTTTCACTTTCTTCTGGGTACGGAACAATAGTATTTTGGATCTGCGAACAACTTTTCCCCGTCTGATGTCACTACTATTTAGCCCTCTGAGGCGAGCCTTTATTGATTCTGCTTTTACTTTGATTGGATCTTACCTACTTCAGTGCTTCAGTAAATTGAAACCTTCTGCAGTTCATGGAAGAAATCTAAGAGCAAGGCTATGAGAAAATGTACACTGACCTCAATTTTTTTCAGACTATGTTGGTAAAAACATTTGTCATCAGGTTGCAGAAGTGACCTGAGCTAACAGGATATTAAAAAAAATAAAATATCAAACCTCATATTCTCAATCAGCCTTTAACAGAAGATTTAATAATTCCCAAAGTACAAATCATAGTACTATTTCCCTGTATTCTGTGAATATGAAAATTGCTCTCTGTTACTCACTCAGTTTATAAAGATGTGCATCTGCTTGTGATATATACATCTCTGGGGGGAGATATGTCAGTCTTCCTAATTTATGCTTGAGCAGCATCAAAATGACAGAAGCTACCTTTAATTATTATTCTAGGACTGAATTCTGTAACTAAGGCAATAATAAAATATTAAATACCTTTTGAAAATAACATCTGGGAGGAAAGAAGGAACATGATGCTTAAATTTACCAATAGAAATGGAAATATATTGTTAGTGTTTTATTTGTGAATATTCATTAATAATTGCATTGCTGTTTTGCTATTACAAGCTGTAGGTCAATAGTAATATAGTCCTGAGTAGAATGGACTGAGTCATAAAATAATCC